TTTTTATTCAGACAGGCTTTTAGTTAAGTGCTTTTTATTGTGTTTTAATTGTTGTTTTTATTTCAGTGATCTGTTTAGTTGTTTTTAATTTTTGCTTTCTGTGAAGCACTTTGTGATGTTTGTCTGTGAAAGGTGCTATAGAAATAAAGTTTACTTACTTACTTACTGAAGTGTGTGTGTATCGTTGTGAAGGAGGCTAAGCTAAGAAGCTAACCGGAAATCACGTGTGCTGTAAACAACCCTACTGAGAGGAGAAAAGTACCGAGCCAAACGAGATGACTGTAAATGAGAGCTGCTGCTTTGTCAAGACAAATATATTTTAATTTGGAAGCCTGATCAACACAGACTGGCTTCATTCACTTCCTCCACTGCCGTATGCTAAAATAACTAGCAGACACTGCGCAGAACATCGACGTCATTCAAAACTCCACCTTCTGTATGCTGATTGGCCCAGGTAAAATAAACTACAAGCAGACACTGCGCAGAAAATCGATGTTCTGTTCTCTGATTGGTTCGGCTAAAAATCTGCCAGTCAAATCCTTGTCTATGGGAGAAATCCCAGACGGAGCAGAGAAGCGAAACTAGAAGTGAATGGAACTGCGTAGGAAGGCAAGGGCCAGGCTAGCGATGCGTAGCTTGCTAAAACAAGCGCGTCCTCCAAAAATATGAAGCGATCTGATGCTACGTTCACACTGAACACGTTTTGAGCTGCAGGAGCGGCCGGTTTACATGCAAAGTTTATGGTGGACGCACCTCTAGGGGTCTTGTGGCACGGCAGGTCTGTTTAGCGCAGAGCACAAAGAATGCACAAGGTAGTGGTAGTGTTTTCCGTGCATGAGGTGCGTCCAAAGCAGCCGACGCTCGAGTTCAAAAATCTGAACTAATTTTTCCACGTGACAGTTTCCTGAATGTTGCCCACTAACTTGAAACAGACGGACAGGAGCTCTTTAGCTGAAATCGACCATCTGTAGTTGATGTTCTGGCTGGAGATATCAGCACCGATGTGGGTCAGCAGCTCRTTAAACTGACTGCGGTGTTAAACGGAGCTCGGGAAAGAAAATAGTCCGTCAGCTCGCAGCTCCTGGAGTGGTGAAACTAAGCAAACAAACCGCCTCTAAATTATCTGGTGAATTAATTATCTGCTGTGAGCAACTTTTGCTTGCTCTTTAGTAAATAAAGCAAAGCCATTTTCTTTATCTTTATTTCATCTGCTAAAGACAAACCAGAAAAAAACCAAGACACTCCTCCCTCTTCAGACGTGTGACTAGTATGTGTCCTGGTCTGAACGTAGAGCATCCAACTGGAGGCGTTGAGAGTATTTTTGCTGCTCAAAAAGCGTTCGGTGTGAACGTAGCATAAGGGTAACGTTTAGGACAGAACAACCCAGCAGTTCTTCATTTATCTGAAGAACTTTTCTGTAAGTTTTATTGGCACACGATGGGCTGGAAGTGATGTGAAGACCACTTCCTGTCTGAGTCTCATTACAAACAGCAGCTGAGAGACGCTGCAAACTCCTGAACACTCAGAAGCTGAGAGTTTATCCATCGTGATGTTGTGTGCGCAGAATCAGATATTCTTTCAGAAAAAATGAAACAGCGTTGTCCGTTGTTTGATAAAGCGCTGTAAACAGGGTGGGGTGGGGTTCCTTCCGTAACAAAAGTAATGAACTTAGATCCTATTCAGTTGTAGCCTGGTTAAAACCAGACCCTTGTCCTTTGCTTTGAACTAGAAATGAGCGGAACTGCATAGGAAGGTCAGGCTAATTCAATTAAAAAGTGTGCAAAAATTGTTGCTGTTTGTAGGTTCATGTTTCTTTATAGCATATTTAATGTTAAATTCAATTCTAAAACTTTAATCTTACAAAAGGATAACTTTATTAATATCAGATTCTCTGATTTACACATAAATGTTTTTTTCTTGGTAAATACCTTTTTAAATACCTTGCAAAATAATTTAATCTTTTACTGAACAGCTATTTGTTATATTAGTGAAAGTGAAATAACCATTCTTCTTTTTTATTTCTGTAGCTATTTACAGTATTTGTTAAATTATTTTTCAGTCACTTTTCAGGTTAACAAAAAAATCGTGATATTAATCGAGATTGGACGATGTGAAAAAATTAATGGTGATCAAAAAGAAAAAAAAATTGTATAGGTCTGCTGGACGGGTTCTTCTTTAATGAAACGTTTCGTCTCTCCTCCAAGAGACTTCTTCAGTCTGAGAGTTTCAGGCAAAATTCAGGCTTTTAAGCACTGCATCCAGGTGACTGATACTCACATCACATGGCTATCGTTGACACCTAATTAACACTTATTGTTAACAGGGGGTGGAGTGATACTGGCAATAGCAGCACTGTAGGAGGGGGACAACTGAAAACGGAGGTCTCCACCTCTGTTTAATGATGGACGGTCTTTCTTCACAAAAATGGCTTCTTTTACTCCTCTCTCAAACCAACGTTCCTCTCTATCAAGAATGAGAACATCCTCATCTCTGAAAGAGTGACCGCTGGCCTGTAAATGAGTGAAAACTGCAGAGTTCTGGCCATTAGATGTAGCTCGTCTGTGTTGGGACACAGTGGTTGCTTTGTTTCCCTGATGTATAACTGGTCGCAGTCCTCCTGGCACTTAACAGCATATACAACATTGCTCTGTTTGTGCCGGGGCACCGGATCTTTAGGGTGAACCAGCCTTTGCCGTAATGTGTTTTGGAGTTTGAAAGCCACTGCTAAAATAAAATAAAATAAAATAAAGCTAAAATAACAGACTAGTTAAAAGCTAAAGCAGTAGGAGATGATATAAAAGAGGGAAGTATGCAGCAACGGATTTTTATAGAGATGGTTATTGAAATGTATTTAGAAAAAACAATTCTAACAGAGCTGAATGTTTTGATGTATGATTGGCTAAAGTCACACAAAGTACACTGAAGCAGACTTCTAAAAGCAGAGAAAAAACAGAACAATACAGTGGCTGAGCATTTAGAAAACAAATTGTGGGTTGGTTGTACAGTTAGCAGTTTAGCTGTTTGTGGCAGGACATACCTGCTGTGCTCTGCACAAACAAACATGCAGTAAAGAGGCTCACATTCAAGGTAAACCTGTTGGAACTCTGGAAGCATTTTTGTGTAGACCAGATCTTTTTTCTCTGTGATAAAAGCCACAAAAATAGAACCCCGGTAAGATTGCAGCATGATTCTAAAGGAGCAACTTAAACTCACCGTTTCACATGCTGGTGTGACAAAGTAATTAAACACATCCTGTGAGTTTCAAGCAGTGGCCTGTTGGGTCTTTTTGACAGCTACATTGAAATTCCAAAAATGTTTTACCACAGACTGTAAGTGAGGAGGAAAAGGAGAGCTCAAAATAACAAGGCAGAATAATATCAGCGTGCTCATACCAAAGGTAGCTCCCAAAGTAGGCCACAATATTCTGGTGCATGCATTCCTTCACCATGAAGATTTCCTGCTGAATGATGGAAAAGTCATCTCCTGAAAAACAGACACACAGACAAAACTTTGCTTTTTCCATTCTCTAAAGCAGAAAATGCTTCCATTACAAAGACAAAATTATTACAGTACATGGAAATCATTTGCTGTAAGATTCATTTCCAAAACAAACACTCTGACATAACATTTAATCAAGAAGTGATATAAACAATAGGTAATATAACACAATAGTAGATATCAATTAATTTAATTCCTGTATGAATTAGGAATGCAAGTTATTATAACCCCCGCACACCAAGGGTAAGCGGGAGTCATACTGTTTTTTTTTTTCAGTGATTTTTGGTCAACCGTACCACAAAAACATCTGCACTGATCAACATGAAATTTGGCAGGACTGTAGATGAGTCTGACCTGCACTGCACCAGCCAACGGTTTTATGATACACCCCATATTTGAGGAGGGGGCTGCTTTCAAAGTGGGGGTGTCAGGACATGCAAAAATGCTTATAACTCAGAAACTGTTCAACATAGAAGCAAGGGTTGGGCATAATTGTATCGTGTGCGATTAATCGTCAGAAAAACTTTAACTGATTAGTTTTTGGCACTTGACGATTAATACGATTAATGCCACCTGGCAGACTGACTTGGATGTTTCCCCAGTCAGTCTGCTTTATTTATATATCAGCACAATTTTTAATTTGATGTATAGCCTGAAGTCTGTAATTWTGGCACAAATTGGAACAGATTTTTTACGAAGAGCAAATCCTTCCCACTAACTTGGTCATGTGACCAGGACATAAGGGTGTCCAGGGACTCCAGGGGATTAATCGTCAAATTAATCAATATTGGCTAAATACCACAATTAATCGTTATTAATTTTTTGCCAATATTGCCCAACTCTAATAGAAGCTTCAGACTTCTTTTGTTGTTTAGGTCTGATGAGGGGCTATCCATCAGGTCAACCAATGCCCCCCCCAACCAAAACCTTTTTGTAGTTTAAACATCTACAAATTTCATTCTTCACAATATACCTTGCTTATATTTAGAACCATACTGTGACTGAACTGCTCCAAGATTCAATAAATAATCAAATATGAAGAATAAAAAGTATTAAATGATTACATGAGCTCTCTAAATAATATAATTTGGAACAAAATAGTTATTTAATAGAGAAATCAGTCAGTCTAACAAATAAAAAAAATGTCGTGAAGTTACCAGTACTTTGTGCAGTACAAAAGACATATTTGGTATATTTTTTAAATATAAAATTATAATACATAATGTGTTTATTTGCACTGAAAAGTTATGGAAATGGTTAAATATTTGTATGACTATATCTGACTCAAGAATTGACAAAAATGTTTTTATTAAATATATCAAAAACATTAAAATGACAATTATAAACTACAGAAAAGCTGTTTAAAATCAAACTCTTCCTTGCTTTGGTCCAAATGGTTCAGGTTAAAATTTTTGTATAATGCTTCGTTAGAGAATATTAAACTGTGTACTTTGACTAAGAACATGGACAGTGTATGTGACTACTATACTGTGTACTTTTGTGTGTGTGTGTGTGTGTGTGGTAAGAGATATGCATTTATCATTATCAAAGTGAACTGGTCAATATATTGTGACACTGATTTTAGGCCATATTACCAGTAGTGGCTCGTGAGCATAAAAATTAGTGGGGCTGACTTTTCCTAAACCAATATCAACATAATGTTACTTGTAAAAACATTACCAACAGCCTTCATGTTTTAGCCGTGGGGCAAGAATAAGGGTGAATATGTGAAACTGTTATAGTCTCTTGCTACATCAAAACTTGGGAGTATTGAAGGTTTGGGTAAATATATTTAAAATTGTTTCATTTACTGTAACTGCATGTACATGTGTTGTATACATTTGCAGATACTTCTAATGACAGACAGCAAAAAAAAAAAGCCACAAAAATTAGAGCAATGGTTGTTTTAATGGCACAAAAGGGCTCAACTTAATGAAAAAAGCAACAAGTGACCCCACAGTCTTYTCGTTTTGGTAAGTTGAGGCCTGAGAATGTAGCCACTTCCTCTCGAGCTGAGCGCTTCCCTCTGCTCTGAACGCACACATTCTTGCTCTTTGTGTCAGGTACTATTTATTCATTGTGAGTTATTGAATGATCAGTATTGATCCTTTTCATAACCAGATGATTTGAAAAAATTCTTTAAAAGTCAGACAAAATGATTTTCTCAAATTTTTTTTCACATTTTGTCTCTCATAGTTGAGGTCTACCTATGATGTCAATTATAGACCTCTCTCATCTTTTTAAGTGGGAGAACTTGCACAATTGGTGACTGACTAAATACTTATTTTCCCCACTGTAAATAAATGGCAGATGATGCAGTGTTTTGGACACAGACTTCATCTGGCTATTGGTGAGTGCAAATTTTAATCTTGAATCGGTTGATTTTAAATAATAATAAAGTAAAAAAAAAAAGAAAAAATGCCAGTAATGCTTAGCAAAATGTTAAATGATTTAAAATAATTATTTTTAGATTGACCACTACACCTTTATAAATAAAAGCTGTACTACACCACAAAATTGAACACTTTGTTACAAAAACTAAACTGTGTACTTATATTAAATTGAAAGTGCCAAATTAACAGATTAAAAAAGTTAAATCTTGTCCACTTGTTTACTGGTGATCTTACAGGAATAGCTTAACTAAACCCAGGTTTTAACAGTTTTCAAATGTAATTTAATATCCTACATATCTACTAAAATGAGGCAGATTTTAATTAGCCTTTGGTATATCTGCTTCCCTACATAAAAACGAAAGTAACTTTGTGTGTGTGTGTGTGTGTGTGTGTGTGTGTGTGTGTGTGTGTGTGTGTGTGTGTGTGTGTGTGTGNCTGACCTGCATTCCTCCACTGCGCATGAATCTGCAGATCTACAAGAAGCAGCAGTGGCAGCAGCCCCAGCAAAAAAGAAGAAATCACTGGAAGTTTCTTCCAGCACAACACAACTACGAGTACCACTTTCACACAGAGGGAGGCAATAGAAAGTGAACTTTCTAGCTACCTGTATTCAGTTAGTGTAGAAAGTGATGCTGACCCTCTCAAATGGTGGAAGGAACATGAAGTTGTCTATCCTGCACTGACTGCCTGGCCAAGAAATATCTTYGTATGCCTGCCACCAGCTCACCTTCTGAAAGGATTTTCAGCTGCAGTGGGAACATTGTAAGCTGCCAAAGGGCATCGCTAAAACCCCAAACTGTTGACAGACTAGTTTTCCTGGCACAAAATCTGTAAAATGTTCAGTAGTTAGCCTGGTTGTATTCTCTTTTTTTTTTTTACATTTGCACATAAAAGATGCACTGGCAAAAGGATGCAATCAAGTTTATTGAATTCAGTCTGTTTAAATGTAATTTGCTCAAAGTTCAAGATGATGGTTGTACAGGAGTACACAAGCACTTTAAATTCTGTCTGTAGAAACTGACTTTAAAGAGCAAGTTGATCTATTGTTATAATTGCTCTGGGTCTTTTCTGTTTACATTTATTTGCACAGCTGTGATTTCTGTTTTGTTATGATGGAAAAAAGAGCATAATTTTATTTGAGGAGGATTATTATTTAACATTTGCCAGTAGGTTATTTTTGAGCCATTTATACTGTTCCAACAGTTGTTTAATAAATGTGCCTACAGTGGGGAGATCAAGTATTTCATACACTGTTGATTTTTCAGGTTTTCCCACTTGCAAAGCTTGTAGATTACTGTTATTTTTACCATAGGTACTCTTCAACTGTGAGTGATGGAATCTAAAACAAAAATCCAGAAAAAATACAATGTGTGATTTTTAAATAATTAAGTTCCATTTTAGTGGAACGGCCCCCTGGAAGTGCAAATTAAAATATAGTTGTATCTGCAACTGTATTTGATAATGTTTTGAACTTTTAAAATACTGCATGATAGAACTAGAAGCTGCTCTTCATATTAGTGACAAACCTTGGTGTTTTTTGATGAGTTACCTTCATTTTTGCTTCTACTTTTCATTTAAAATAAGTTTACATTTTCGGCAGGTTTCTAAGGTTCTTCTTCTACATATTAAAAAAGTTGTTAAACATCTGAGTGGTGCACTACTGCTACTAGTGGTGAGAAACTGTATTGCACCTTATTCAAAAATCAATGCGGTCCCACAGCCCTCTGCGGCCTAAAGTTAAAAACTGTTGTTCTTTTAAGGCCCTCAAGGTGGCGCTAATCTCTGCCTTAGAGTATTGGCCTTGGGGGCGGGGCTTATAAAAACAGAATGATCAACGGCAGCAGCTTTGTTTTAAATACAATTTACAGAACATGAAAAAGTCTGAAATTTGCATTTAAATAATCGTATTTAGCCTATCCCATATCTAAAGATRCATTTAAGATATCTTGAACTGGAGTCTCCATACAACTCAATGATAAATCTAATGTTATTTATACTAGTCAGAACTTAATTTGAGATACCTTAAATAGGTATTTTGCCTTGTCAAAACATATTGAGATGTTTATTAGTTTCTTTTTAGTTTATTAGTTAGTTTCTTTCATTCATAAAAACAAAACCATCTATGTACACCATTAAAAAAACTAAGTAAATCATACCCTGAATTAAAAGGGTGCAGAGTGAAGTTAAAAACACATCATATTTTCCCCTTATCTTCAAAAATCAACTTCAGCACACAAACAAGCTGGAAAGATCTCCAAGTTAAAAAAATAAGTAAATAAAACAAAATAATAAAACGTTTTCTTTTATTATTTTGTCCTAAATAACTAATATGTCTAATTTAGTCATAAAACAATTTCAGATAACTAGAAAAAAAGTGTGGTGAAGCCAAATAAATGTTATATCAGCCTGCCATACAATGAGCTTCTGCCTGCTAAACTGACCCGCTGCGTTCTCATCTTCATCATCATCATCATCATCATCATCATCAGAGCAGAAGCCGACATTAGCAAGATGGATTTATGACTGAACGAATGTCCACATATTTTTATCATCTCTGTGGGTAACAATACATAAAAAACATTTTATTTTTCT